GCAGCAGGAGCCCGAGGAGCCCACAGAGCTGGTGGGGAGCTGGGGGAGGACCCCCTGGGGCTCACCCAGCTGGTGGTAGTTGGAGAGGCCAAAGCCATAGATGTGCCCCTCCCGGGTGACAGCGAAGGTGAAGTAGGCCCCGCAGAAGGCGTCCTGGAACCGCATCTTGCCCCGGTTGCCTTTGCCCCTGACAGGGACACGCTGGGGGATCAGCAGGCGCTCTGGAGGGGGAGAGAAGGTGTCATGTGAGAGCTGATGATGGATTGATCCCCCTTCCAGCCCCCTCAGCCCCAGCTGGAGGGCTCCCAGGACTCACCCAGGCCTTTCCTCCCACCGCGGTTGGCGAAGAGCGCCGGCACGCGGCCCAGCTGGCCCTGCTCACCACAGCCACACGTCAGCAGGTCCCCGTCCACAGTCAGCATCACCAGGTGGTCGTTCCCTGGGAGGAGAGGAGGGAGAGGAGTGAAGCAGAAGCCCCAGTGAGACCCAGGGGTTGAGGTCTCACAGTGAAATTCCGCCTGCCGCAGCTTGCTAGAATTCAGCGGGGTTTACTGGATACCAGCTTCTGGCACAACTTAAACCCCCAAGAGATTTGGGTCCCTTAGGAACCTCACAGAGTTCAACCACTGCAAGTGCAGGGTCCTGCCCCCAGGGAGGAATAACCCCCTGCACCAGGACCGATCAGGGGTGACCTGCTGGGAAGCAGCTCCACAGAGAAGGACCTGGGCCCACGGGGGGACAATTTGCCCAGGAGACAGTAACAGGCCCTTGTGGCCAAGAAAGTCAATGGTCTCCTGGGGTGCATTCAGAAGAGTGTGGCCAGCAGGTCAAGGGAGGTTCTCCTCTCCCTCTACTCTGTGCCAGTGAGGCCACCTCTGGAGTACTGGGTCCAGTTCTGGGCTCCCCAGTTCAAGAGAGACAAGGAGCTACTGGAGAGAGTCCAGGGGAGGCTCTGGAGATGCTGAGGGGCTGGAGCATCTCTGTGCCAGGACAGGCTGAGAGCCCTGGGACTGTTCAGCTGGAGAAGAGACCTCTGAGCAGGAGGAAAAGGACATGGACTGTCTGGACCTTCACCTCCCAAGGGCTGTGACAGCCTCGTGCTGGGACCTGACCCACACGCACCCCAGGACCTCGCTCACCTGAGACAATTTTAACAACGGGTGCAGCGAGCTGGAGCAGCACAGGAACAGAGCTCATCTTCATGGGTTCCAGCAGACCGATCACCCCGTTGTTATCCTGGGTGGAGACAGACATGGGGACATCAGCTGCAGCAGGAGGAGCCATCAGCAGAGCTTCAAGTGCCTGAGGAAGCACCCTACCCGGAAGGAGCCCCAGACGAACACCCGTCCGTCCTCCGTCAGCGCAGCGGTGTGGCTGTCCCCTGCAGAGACCTGCACGACCTTCTCCTGCAGCTCCACCAGCCCTGGGGTGGTCTCCGACCCTTCTGCCGAGGTGTCTCGCCCAAGGGCACCTTCATCATTGCAGCCAAAGGTGTAGATCTGCAGCCACAGAGCAAGGCAGCATCTCAGACTGGTTGGGGAGGGAAGGGATCTTTCAAGGTCCTCTAAGTCCTCGAGCAGGGACATCCCCAGCTAGAGCAGGGTGCTCAGAGCCCCGGCCAACCTCCCCTGGGATGGTTCCAGGGATGGGGCAGCGACCACCTCTCTGGGCAGCCTGGGCCAGGGGCTCACCACCCTCAGCAGCAACAATTTCTCCCTTCTCTCTAGTCTCAATCTCCCTCTTTTAGTTTCAAACCATCCCACCTTGACCAGTCGTTGCAACGGGCCCTGCTCAAAAGTCTGTCCCCAGCTTTCTGACAGGTCCCTTGAAGGCCTGAAAGGCCACCAGAAGGTCTCCCTGGTGCCTTCTCCAGGTTGAATACCCCCATAGCTCTCCTGCTGGCCTCCCAGCAGAAGGGTTCCAGCCCTCTCATCACTTTTGTCTCCCTGCCTCTCCTGTGCTGAGAACTCCAGAGCTGGACACCACACTGCAGGATGAGACCCAGAGGCAACAGGCTGAGTGTGAAGCCAGTGGACAGAGGCCCAGCAGCTGAGTTATCCCTTTGACTCCCACCTGGTGATCACAGCACAAAGAGCACACTCATCCACCCCCAGAGCTGGAGGGAGCCACACGCCTGGGCAGCACAGGGCAGTTCCCACCCCAGCTCCAGCACTCCTCCCAGGGCTGGGGGACACACACAAGGCTCACCCCCTCCTTGCTGCACCCACCTTTCCTGTCTGGCTGAGGCACACCGTGTGCATCCCTCCT